GGTGGGGGGGGGGGGGGGGGGGGGGGGGGGGGGGGGGGGGGGGGGGGGGGGGGGGGGGGGGGAGCCTTGAAAAGAGGAAACGGTAGTTCTAGGAAAATTGCATGTTTTTATTGGCCAGATTCTTGGTCTAATAACGCTGGCTCCTTTTTAGAAAATATGCAGGCGACTTTGAGGCCGACAATGGGCCGATATGTTACTATTATTTGCGTTTTGAAGGGTTGACAGGCTTCAGCTTGTGTGGAAGACAAAGGAGCGCGACCTTGATTATCGACCAGAAGTGAGTAAAGGCAGGTTAAATTTTGGATCGTTAGTTGCAGCGAGTTTGGAAAAGCGTTCGACATTCCAGCTTTCCGGTTTGCTACAGTCAACTCCGATGGATAACTCTGACCTTCAAGGGAAATTGAAAAAGGTCCGAGTTATCGGGAGTTGAAAATAAATGGCCCGAGATATGGGGAAAAAAAAACGGTTTTTACGGTGTTTGTTTTCATACAGAGTACTGAGCAGCCCGCAAATGATCCCAGGACCGTATATAAAATGATCCCCACATTGTAATGTAAATTTCCTCGTACCGGAAATGATCGCCTAGAACAAAAGGATGGAAATGAATGGACTCAGGAATTTGGACAGTGGATTTAAAATTTATACAATCCATTTTTTTCCCTCTCAATAATCTCCGCCTCTGTATCGAAAGCTACACCAAAATATAGTCAGCTTAGTTAGGAGTTCCCAATTGTCTCCGAATTTGAGGATATAGTGAAATTCCTGTGTTAGAATAGTACATCTCAGGTAATCCGATCGAGACATTCAAAGAAAAACCTAACTATAAAACTACAGATTTCAAATACAGGATTTCGTGAGGCTACATATCATTTTTTAAAGTTGTGAAAGTTGTATTCAAATCGTTCAAATACTGTGCATGTTGCTCATGCTTCATATAGTAACTGTTGTATAAAAATATTGTATTACTGTGAAACTCAGAAAACCGTGAATACGCTTGTTGCGTCTGGTCACATGCTTCTTTGACAATCGAGAAAATCAGGGAAGGGTCCTCTCTAATCAGGCAATTTGTGGCGTCGGTTGAGCTTTCTCGGATTCAAAGCATCGCGCTGCCACCGCCATTACCCGCAATGTTTAGCACTAGCCTTCAGGCTACAATTTTGAATAGTATTTATTCCAACGTTAATCAAAGCAAGTCCGTCTCGAGGCAACTTACCGTGGTCGTGATGTTGTTGCCGTCTTACCCACTGGATATATGGAACGTAAGTCATATTTCATCTTTTTCCTTCGTTGTTCCTCGACAAAATCAACTGTAGACGTCGAGCGCTAGCAGCGCAATCTCATTCCGTATATCGTAGTAATTGTTTCTCCTTTGAATGCGCTTGATCAGATTGATGTAAGAAACATAAGAATGTCTCTGGACAAACGCATAGCTTTCTCGAAGTAAAGCTACAGGACCTACGGCATTCTCTGAAGAAAAGCTAGACGAAGATAAAAATGATATTCGTGACAAGAAGCAGCATGGTGTGCTTGCAAGCATTCTCTGCTTGAATTGAAAACATTCTAATCAAACAGCCGGGCCTGAATTGAGCCTAAACAAAGTGTAACTACAAGGCAAACTCTGCGAAACGACGTGCAGTTAACAGCGGAAACCTTGCAGACCTATGACCGCTAAAAAATTTCCTATAACAAAGTAAAACGGCTCTTCTCTACTTTTAATTCCCCCTAATAACACAGCATAAAGTGGCCTTCAGAAACAGGTGTGAAGCAAAGAAAAGGCCGAGAGGTCGAAAATTAAAAGAGAACGGCAAATGCGAAAATGTCACGAACCGTAATAGTCGTGTAGGACTATTAACCCCATTTTTACACTGATTTTTTTTAACGACGCAATGAAAATTATATTTTTCTTTTTCTGGCCTCCTTTCAGGTGAAGACAAATGTTATTATAAGCAGCGTTGACAAAATTCAGACCCCGACGAATCGTTGTGTGATGATATCATCCCTCGCGCTTTTCGGGTCGCCGACAGCTCACTTCGGGTCACCCTTTCGAAGTGACTTCGGCTTTCAGTTATCATGGCCCTCAGTGAATGCTCACAAATTATTTAATCACCGTTCACAAGGACCACATAGTAGATGTGGTCTTAATTCATTCCGAGGTATAAATGATCTTAAATACACAGCCACGGTCGCGGCGAGCAATGTTTCATTCGCCTTCTTGAAGAGATTTTAACAAGGCGTAGCGTCCTAAACTGAACCATTCAACCTACAGCAACTTGGATTTCCGCTATCAGAGAACGGATGAATTTTCTTTGGCGTTTGCAGAATATTACCGCCAGACAGAGCAGCATATCTTTCATGGTTTATTTTGGTGACAACACATCCCGCACCCCCGTAGGCTCAATCTAGACAAAATTCATACTAGGCCGCCCCTCCCTTCAATAATTAAATTGTCATCTCCCAGATTCTAGGAGACATGTAACTTTTTTAAGCAATAGTGAGTACAAATAAAGATTGATTGATTGATTGATTGATTGATTGACCAGAGCCAACCAGGGTCTCTTCTCTCTCGCTCGGGGGGAGGGGGCGAGAAAATGAGAGACCCCAGGAACGAGGCTGAAGTCCAGGTGCAGCTAACTTTGCAAGTTCTGAGAGAACAACGTCGGGCTACTGCTACAGCGTTCATGCGATTTACTCTTTCTAGAAATAGTTATTTTAATGTTTTGAACTACAGTACTGAATACGTTGAGATGTCACGCGTTGACAAACATGGTTCGAGTTATCGAGAGTAAAATAATATAGAAAATTACGTGAATGGAAACGAAAATTGCTTCGAGTTAACGGAGGTTCGAGTTACTTAGGGTAAAATTACATTAAATGTATGAAGAAATATTCCGGTTTGAAATGTGACGAATGAAACAGAATTTTCCGGTTAGTTGGACCAGACCGTCCCAGGCCATCACGTTCCAACTTTCGCACGACAATATGAAATGAACAAAGGGGAAACAGATGACGACTCTCAGATGTTGAATCAAACGATGTATTTGGTGAGGATGACGACTTAACTTTTTTACAGTGGGTTGGAATTATTTACATGGGATGAATTTAAATCGAACCCCCGACTATTTTGACGGTACGATACTTCTTTACTTTTTTGACGAGTTCAAGAGTCACTTTCCAATGACGAGACAAACTTGAGAGCCCAAAGGGAGGATACCAAATTGCAACAGATCTGGGCAAACTGCTACTCCACTACAACGGTGTTGAAGTAAGAGATTTTTAAAAGTCGCCAGTTAGAAACATGACGAGCACTGATATTGAGAAGCTTGAGAATCAGATTTCCGGGCTCGGAGAAACTCGGCAAAATTTCGGAATCATTTCCGGGAAATTTCCGACCCCCTCACTCGGAATTCCCGAATATTTGGTCGAATGGAAGGCACCCCAGATGGACTACTTTGCTCAGAAATGTCACGCACAGTACCAGGCACGTAAAGAAAGCTAAGGAAATAAACAAGTACACGAAACAACACTTCTGTCTGGTTCTTTCCTTAACCCTTTAAGTCTCGATAGTGCCATATGGCACAAAATGTTATAATAAGCTTAATATTTGGCCAATTCATTTCAAATTTGGAGGCCAAAAGGATCTGTGAGAGATCTTCACATTGAAAGCATAAAATCATAACCCCCTCCTGAATCAGACTTGATTAACCACTCCTCAAGTTTTTGAAACTTTCACGCTTTACAATTTTACGGTCAAATGAAAATCTGATAAAAATCTGCACACGCAGAGCTTCAAATTAAGCTATTGTTTAGGGGTATACCCAGTATATACAAGGAATAAGGTATTTTTGAACGTTTTCATTTTTTTACTTTATAGACTCCTCAGTTCAATTTGTGACATCTTGTATGTCTTTTGTGGTGATGTAGGACATACCCCAAACAGTACCTGGTATATTACTTGTGGTCTTTCGATCTACTGTTATAATTTTAGAAATTAATCATTACTCCGAGAGAAAATTATATAGCTAATGTATGTTTTGTTGTTGTTGTTGTTGTTGTTGTTGTTGTCGTCGTTGTTGTTGATTTACAATGAACATTTGCAAAATATCTCATATTAAGTCAGATCAAATCAATCTTTATTTAAGCACGAAATGGTATGATATATACACCATGGCTTCCTAAGAGTCGTTCTACTTTACACTAGAACACATTAACTGCAGAACCACTAAACCAATAAAATGAAATGCAATGAAATCTTATATATCTTATCAAGGTTTCTATAATTTATGTGTTTAAAGTAATCTTTCCCGGGCAGTACAGGTTTAAAATCGTTCAAATTGGGCTGCTGTCTGATCTGATGAAGGGGATCTTGTTCCACAGAACAGATACCATTTTGTAGAAATATAACAATTTGACTCATAGCTTCTAACACTGTATGTAAACTTGAAATACTGGTAAATATCAGTCTCAAATACCATAGGGAAAGATTACTATGGATTTTGTACATACAGTAATCACAGCTAACTATTGCAGTCCTTTGTTTTTGTTAACGTTTCCCAACCAAGTTCATCCAACAAATCACGCGAACGAACAACCCTAACCCCACCCCCGTCCACCCCTAAATGGTTGGTCATCACAGAGATTGCTCTTGTAGCCCTAACTTTTATACATAGCTTCCTTTCAGGTTTTCAAGAGTTAAGCAATTTAACTACACCATGACAATGATTCGATGTGAAGGAGTAATTATTTTCAATGTTTGTTAGCCATTATGATTCAAAGCCCTAGATTTGCTGATTACATTTCAGGGTTGATTTCAATGTTGTATTTAGGTCGAACTGATCGTTCGGACAGGGCTTGTGTCTTGAGGAGCGCTATGCCTGGATATGTACAGACTGATGGCGTTCATTGAGGTGGCGGGGCTTGAAGGGAACTACAGATCATTAGCAAAGTCCATAGGATATCCACACCTCCAATCCAGGTAGTGAATAAAATAGCTTTTAAGATTATGTACATGTATTACAGCTACAACTGGACACTGGCAATAAATGACACCTGCCTCACATTTTAGCTCTAAGTTGTTAGAGGGGATATATGTCCGGTCGTCTTCTGATAGGTAATATGTACAATATCTACAAGGCCAGTAATGAACATGTAGTGCAGTTATTTTAATGAAATAACCGTATTTATGTTTAAGTTAATTCCTATACTGGCAAGATGTAAGGGTCGGAGGACCGAATATAATACCTTATATGTACATTATACGTAATCGTATACGTTATAAGAACATTTTTGCAGCTTCTAAACATGGAGAATTCATGTATATAGCAATTTAAGCGTTCTTTTAACTAAAAAGAAATAGAAAGGAAGAAAAACTCTGATATCAAAGCAGTTCGCCTCAGACTTCTACCTACGAGTGTCCTCCTGCCAAGATACAGTATGGCTGTCCATCCGTATGCTACCCTCCGTAAACTCATCAAAACCCGTAACACCGACTATAGCACTCTTTGTAGGTTTGGGGATAGTCCTATAAAGGGGGATCAGGGTCAATATTCGGTTTCTAAACGGCAGAGGCACACGCAAGGGCTTGCACAGTTGAAATCTATTGGGAACAGCGTAACACGTACAGGCAAACCGTAATACGTACAGACCTAACCAAACACGAACAGGCACAGCCCAACACGGACAGGCACGGCGTAAAAAAGACAGGCACAGCCCAACATGGACAGGCACAGTAACAAAGACAGACACAGCCCATTCTGCGGAAGACTGTTAACCAAACGTTGGATCAATCTCTGATATTTCCTTTTCAGACAGAAAACACTGTCTCGTTATTTTATGCACATCAACCACGGCTTAAATTTTAAACCCTGTGCCCGTGAGTCTGACCGAAATAAACATAGCAGCCGTGATTATTTTCAGTATGCTCAAGCTCAGAAGATTATTGCATTGTTGCATAACCAGGTCTTAGTTTTTGAGATTCAGAGGGGGTCTGAAGTCTTAGTTTTTGATGTTCGGAGGGGATGTTAGGTCTTAGGTCTTGGATCTTAGGTCTTAGGTCTTAGTTTTTGAGACACCCATAGCGTCAATAGTCCACAGATTCTTCACAAAGGTCACCGTTGTTTACATATCTGAAAATTTCTTGAAATGTCCTGCGTACGTGATCAAGAACCATTTCCATCCTATCCTAAACAGGGGAAGAGACCATATGTATAACGCTAAGCTTATAGTTAATAACAGAACGAAAGAATGTGCTTTTAAGCATCCTTAAAACAGCATTGTTCAGCAAATTCATACTGAATAGATCACTGACCAATTGAAAAACGGCTCATGTCGCCATAAAACAACATTCTTATTAAAACGCTAGCTCGTGCTGGATAAATCACTGAACAATTTTGGAAAACGGCTCATATCGCCTCGCCTGAATGTTAGGGTAGTTGTCTTCATGTCTTCATCCTTAGTCTTACCTGTCTTGTCTCAAATCTTGCCGCCATCTTTAAAGACAAATGCATGACTGTGAGATGTTTGGTTACCAGTCTTTCGCAGAATGGGCTGTGGCTGTCCTTTTTTACACTGTGCCTGTCCGTGTCACGCCGTGTCTTTCCGTGTTGGACTGTCCGTAATAGAGTTCAGCTGTGCTGGCCCTTGCGCCTACCTCTGCTATTTAGAAACCGAATATTGACCCTGATTCCCCTTTATAATATAATAATCTTGCGAAACTCCGGGACTTTGAGGTTTCAGAATATGCCGAGACTCCGATCGAGACTCCGAGACTCATTTTAGCCGAGGTCTCAACAGTAGTTGATTTCATTTCTCGAGATTTATCATTCACCATGAACAATTCAGCAGATTACATTTTTTCCTTACATCAGTTAATTAACTCCTTAAATCAGTAACAATTGACGCGTCAGTAAGAGAACTCGTGTATCAATCCCTAGAGAACATTTCGAGACTCGTCACAACCCTTGCAAAATAACTCCTTTAGTCTCTTGCGAAAGTCTTTGCTGACTAGCGAATAAATTAAGGGGTTTGAGGAAGAGTTGATCTCGACAAACACTACAACTATGAACAGAAGATGTTTATAATATGCCTGAGTGGCGATGACTGGCCACCAAATAGAAGCGATTCGTAGCATACTCAACGGGAGCATTGTTATTGCAAACACCACAACAACTGGCGTTAAAATTTTCTTGATTCGCCTGTTTTGATGAAGACGTTGGAGTTCCATTTTGGAAAAACTAACAACTTTACCATCATCAGATGAAATAACGCTATGTTCGATTTTCATATCCTTGATGAATTTGCTGCTGCAGTTAATTTTACGTCCTATTCTTATATAAGTCAGAGCTATCAGGAAAAGTGGCAGAATGTAGGAGAAAAATGTCATTAAACCTGCATACAAGCGAGGCAAAATCCACGAGCGATCCCACGAAGGCCAAACTGTACCGCAAGAAGCTAATCCGTTGGACAGCTCATGATATTGAACAACAAAGTGCAGTGGTAAACAGAAAACAAAAAATGATATCACCCATACGAACCCGACAATAATCTTGGAATTTCTTAGCGAAGTTTTCCTATTATCGCGTTTTGGTTTAAGTGTCACTATTTTTAAATATCGATGTATAGCGATAATTGTAATACACCATACAGAGGAACCGTGAAATATTTCCGGTATTGGATACAGATAGAGGCAGCTAAACTCTCCAAGAGGCCAGTTCAAGGGCAACTTCTCTTTGATTAATCCTAGCGGGAATGTAAATAGCAGAAAGCCAAGATCTGCAATGGCTAAGTTTAGTAGATAGAAATCCGATGGTTTCTTCTTCTTGCCCATTTGACAAATAACAACAGTTACCAGAACATTACCAACAACTCCAAACAAAGCGATTAATACCTCCAAACCTAGTTTTAGCGATTCCACCAAGGGTATGTTCCTGGCAACGGAATCATTCGCCAAGGAGACGTTCGGATCGGCTCCACAATGCCTTACGGTGCAGTTCGCCATAGTTCATGTGACTTTTCCTTTTCCTGTCGTTTGAATACCTGGCTGTTGTGTAGTTTCTTCTTTTTTTTGTTTTCCTGTGATGTAGACGTCGCACGAATAAGTCTATCTGGCGATCTGTGCGGTACCCTTCCTTGACTTCCTTGGGTCCGAGTTCAGTGCTTGCAAGTACTGTAAGAGCTCGTCCCTGTAGATCTTTCCTGTAAAGAATTTTTTAATGTTTATTGTAATATAAAATGATAACACAGCTTAATTCCTTGATTTCAATATTCAATGATATTCAACATATTCAATTCCTTTACAGTGGCCTGACTGACGGAGCTCAACTGTTGAAAAGCGAGCGACCTATTCACATCGAGCGGCGTTCAAACAGAATCAAGCAATTTCTCAGGAGTCAAGTTCGCCTTGTCAAGGAGCTAGCCGTTAGTGACGAGCATCTTCGTTTATAAAACAACTTAGCTTCCTTTCACTGAATTAGTTATATCGCCCATGCTGGCTTTCAAGTTAAGGAAAATACAATCCAATCCCATTGCTCTTATCATTCTGAAAACGCCTTCCGTCTAAATATTACCTGCCAAAGGTTAATAGAATAACCAAAAGCCAAAGAGAAGCGAAGAATATGTCAATCTTAAAGACAAAGCTCTCAACACGAAATATTCCACTCAATATTAACAGTTTACCTATTCCGTGGTTGTCATCACAGTTACATGCAGACGTAAACACAAATCCTTCAATGTACTTTATCAATTTAAATTTACGCATGTATTAAATCCTTGGGATATATTTATGAAAAAAAAGAAAACTGATGAACTCAAGCATGTAGCCGGCTCTTATAAAACGACAAAAAAATCTCTTGTTGCGAATGATGAAAGAGCTCGATATTACGTCAATGAATCAACAAAGATCACGTTAACAGAAATTAAATGAAACACCAGAAAAAGGTGCAAGAAGCGGAGGAGGAGACGAGGCTAAAATACCTGACGAAAGTTAGAAGTTATGCTATTCTACTTATGCTTACCTTTTGTAATCAAAAACAGGATGACAAAAGCACTTTGGTGTTTTTCTTCTATTTCCTCGTCTGATGAATGATCCAAATGAAGCTAAGTATGACGTCTGTTTGTCATGTGAAATAGAATTTACCAATACTTTGAATGGAAAACTAGAAAAAATCTCCAACATAAGTTCGTGTATATGAAAATTCCTCCATGAACCAGTCTTCAAACATCCGTGTAGATAAGCAGCATCTTTGAAATTGAAGTAATACAATTCAGTAAGCTAAATAGGTCTGGGAGAAATGTGGTCAATCTTGAATGACACTATCTAATTGAATTTCCAGCTGATTCCGGTAAAGCCATCTACCTCAGTATTTGATCATTAACAGCAAAACACTTATGCATAAAAACCTCTCAAAGTTTCATTTTTTGTTTGTTTTGTTTTGAGCTATGACTTGCTCTTCACGGTTGAGCGAAAGTTTGCCT